ATGGGAAAATCATCTCAACTCTTGTTGTCTCTTAAGAAGCGTCATAATCCAGTCTCCTCCAGTACTATTGGTCGTTGGATAAAATCTCTTCTGACTGATGCTGGTGTTAACACCTCTATTTTTGGTGCTCACTCCACAAGAGCTGCCTCCAGTTCAGCAGCCAAGAAGGCAGGAGTACCTCTTATTGATATAATGAAAGCAGCTGGATGGTCTAGATCCTCCACCTTTGAACGGTTTTATTACAAACCTATCTTATCTCCTCAGGTTGGAGACATTTTGCTTTCATCAGGTGGGTGAATGTGTTCTTTAAACAAAATACATATGTCATATATGAAACCTTGCCATGATGTGGAATTGAAAATCTCACAAGCATATGTAATATGTGATGTGAGATTGGAATTCCACAAGTAGCAAGGTTTCATATATGACAACCCACCCAAACTTACTTACCCTCCCTTAGAGTAAATCACATTCACTATTTCTTTTATTATTACATAGAGGTCCCCTCTAATGATGACCTTGGCAGTTCGTAACTGTATGACAAATTTCTTGGTCTAAGGGCGTTCCTGGCTGTTTGTCATTGGACTATTACTAGTACTACTATTATTATTATTACTATTATTATTATTACTACTATCTTATTCGTGAGAATTATCTAAAAAGCTAACTCTAACTGTTCTTTTTGCTATTGGTCTTTCCATATTATTATTTTGATCATTATTGGCATACCTGTTTACATTGGGTATTTGTGCTATCTTATTGTTAGAAGTTTTGTTAATCATGTTCAAAACATTGATATTGTGGTTTATGAAAGTCAATACTCTTCATAAATGGTTTCACTTACATCTCGCAAACTTAAGGCCAACGTGGTCTATCACGTGAGCTGAGTTATATTACAAAAAAAAAAAAAAATTTATCGTTAAAATTTTGCTATAATTTACAATATTTTGAGCAAATATGGGCCAAATACATATGTCATATATGAAACCTTGCCACTTGTGGAATTCCAATCTCACATCACATATTACATATGCTTGTGAGATTTTCAATTTGACTGGTTGCTGATTGGCAACCAGTCAATCATAACATAGATATTCTCTAACATCTATGATCATAACCACTGCTAGTATACCCACTGCTATAGTATAATATATATAATATCATTAGTAGAATTAAACATCTTTTTCAATATTTACACTAAATAGCAATCACTTTTAAGTTTGTAATCTGAGCTCAGATAGTGAAAGTTGCTAGGAAGTAGTAAAAACAACTTTTTAGTTGAATGTTACTGTTTACATATTGCTCGATAAACAGACTGTTTTTATTGCTAAATGAAAACAGGAGCAATTGCATAACCTCCTGATTCGTAGTTATGCTTCCAAACTAAACATGTTTTGTATGCAATAGATACTGAAACGTTAATCAAATTTATTATTCATTAATCATAAATTATTATTGCCACTATAATAATAAATGTTATTTTGACTCATGCAGTTAGATTTAGCTTGAGCTAGCCTATTATGATAGCAAATCTTCAGACTTGAATTTGAAGAAAGATATCACAATTATCATGGTTGTGACACTCAGTGTCATGACTTTAGCCACCCCATCACAAGAACATTATTGCATCAAAGGCACACTTCTGAAACATAAGGGATTGTTATATCTAGTTTAGAAGATAGTGAAATTTCATGCATCATAAATTTAACTACAGTTTTTTATTTTTTGTGTGAAAGTTTATGATTGTGGAAATAGAAAGCAAATCTCAGCAAGTAAATTTTTTATTACTATGTTACATAAACAAAACCAAGTTAAAATTTTGCTTTCTTAACAGTGTTGTTATAGTTTCTGAATCCTGCTGTTTAGTTAGACTTATAAATTCATTCAATGTCTAGCTAAGATATATTGTTTCTTGTAGTATGGAAGAGGCCTCATATTGGTCAGTGCAACAAACTAGAATAATAGAAGAAAATGAATATGAACTAGCTCAATATACTAAAGAAGAGATAAGGCCTTGTGCTCATGTAACCAAAAGCAAATTGTCACATCATTCACCATGGAGCATATACCAGTTAGTATACAAATAGCATTGTTGTGTGTCATGCTATTACTCTTGGCAATTATCATCATGACTGGACTGATTTGGACTGTGCTAGATACCAACATTGCTACTTGTATTGAGTATAATGCCAACAGTTCTCAATTTATCCTGCAGGCAAATGGTCAGCAGCAGTTTCCTAGCTTTACTAAATGGGCAGATGATAATATCGTTACTGGTGTCACCCAAGTACTTCAAAATTCCTCATCCTCATTTTCTGATGATAATAATTTCAATAAAAAACAATACACTAGTAGTGCTGAGTCTTATCACTCAAGTGAGCAGCTTAATGCAAGAAACTGCTTACAAAGTTAATTTCATTGGAAATATTAGCAAAGAGGAAAAAATGTTTAATGAGAACAATACAATACTGTTGAAGAACTCCATAGAAACAGTATAGGCAACTCAATGGCACAGCTTAATGATATCATTGACATTCTCTCTAATATACAAGACAGGA